GAACCCAGGTCCTTCTGACTCCAAGGTCAGAGCTCTATCTACTGCGCCACCTAGCTGCCCCAAACTTCTTGTTTTACAGAGGAGAAAACTGATGCCCACAGAAGGCTAGGGACATACAGTGTCATTAACTGACTTAATGACAGAATCTGGAATAGAACCCAGGTCTCCTGAATTCCAATGACTCTTTCTTACTACTTTGTAGATTCCTCCCTTTCTGCCTTCTTCCACCTCTCCTTTTCTGGAGGGACTGAAAACGTCCTTCTGCCTTTTGGTGAACTTGCTTTAAAGGGCTATGATAAACCGTCCCACTCCCCACCCCTTGCCTAAACCTTCCCACTGAAACAACTTAGGCAATCCATCCTACCCCCAATTTCTCCCACAGAAATGATAAATACAGCAATGTCTGTAAAAGGTGCTTTGTTGGTTGCTTCCCACAGGGGAGATGTGGTGATGATTGTTCTTCCCATTCTGGTGACATATAGACCATCCTACTTCCCTTTCTCTCTTACCTGGCAGTGCTCTAAAGGGACCATGAAGCCTGAGGGCGACATACCCACCCTCTCCCAAAATTCCCTTATTGTGGGCATGGGGACCTCAGTTCTTATGTCTCTTAGGGCTGGAGTGTCTGCAGTTGGGCAGCCGGTCTACACTACATCTTGGAATTTTAGGGACCCTGCTTTGCCCCAGTGAGACAAGCCCCAACAGACTTGTTCTTCTAATCATTTGAATAATCCTCAGCCTAAGGGGAAGGGAGGGGGGAAGCATACATTTATTAAAAAAAATAAGTAGGGGCTACATCAGATGGACTGGTACAGTGGGAACAGCCCAGGACTTGGAGTCCAAAGAACTAGCTTTAATCTTGGCTCTGTCACCCTTGTTACTTTGGAAAAGCTATTTCTTCTCCATAGGTCTCACTTTCCTTCTCTGTTAAAGTAAGGGTGTTGGACAAGAATTCTGGGATTCTGAATATGCAGTCTGGGAGTTTGTTGATAAAAAAACTTGTTAATTGTATTTCAGTATAATTTATTTCCATTGTAATCCTATGTATTTTATTTTAAACATTTAGAACATTATTCTGAGGAGGGATCCTTAGGCTTCCATAGGCTGCCAGAGGGATCCATGACAAAAAAAAGTTTAAGATGATCCCTGAGGAGCCTTCCAACTCTAAGCTCCTCTGAGGCTATGTTGTTCACACTACTTGTTCTGGCCTCCCCACCCTGGCTTTGCCAGGGAAGACAGGTGTTATAAAGGCGGAGAGATGGGAACACTGAGTGTGCCAGCTCAGAAGGGGGCAGGCCATGATGGAGTGGGGGTGGGGTGGGGTGTTGATGTCCTCTGCTGGGGAGGTGGCGAACCAGGAGGTAAAGCCTTACTCAGACTTTGAAGGGGGAGTTGAGAAGGGGATTCTACGGGAATAGGGACACCACAATGGGCTCATTTCACAGAGTGGTCCAGGGCTAATACAACTTGTGTACTACCCCCTTCCACTTTCAGGGCTCGGCATAATTAGACTTTGCCCTTGATTTCCAGGATGAGGAAGTGCCCTGGGACAGAAGGGCAGGAGGGCTCCCTCAGAAGCCAGGGTAGGTTTGCCAGTTGTCACCAGATGTACCCGGGTGCCCTACAGGGCCTGCCCACTCCAACCAGGGTATCTCATTTCCTGTCCTCCAAATTTCATTCAACTCAGCAAACATTTACAAAACAAATATTTATAAATATTCACTATATGCAGAGCCCTTGATAGACACAGAGCCATGACAGACATGGCTTAGATCTTGTTACCAAGGACAGTATCCCCAAAACCTTGGGGATAAGGATTGAGATCACCTTGGGGAACTCTTCTCCGTTTTTCCCCAGCTCCCCTAACATCCATTCTCAGCCAGTAACAAGCTTCTCCCTAAGACTTCACATAGAACTTGTTTTTGTTATTTTGAGATTCCAGCCTGCCTACTTTGTCCAAACTAGAAGTGCAAGCAGCCACTCAGGGCCTGATCCCAATAATGATCAGCGTGGAAGCTTGAAGCTGCTCCATTTTTTTTTTGTCTGCCCTGGGCTGGTTCACCCCTCCTTAGGCAGCCTACAGCCCTCCCCTCCCTCGGGCTCACCGTGCTGATTCCAGACTGAGTGAGGATGCCTGATTGACTCTAGCTCTACCGTAGCTCAGAATTCCCAAACTCAAGAGACCCATCAGCCTCAGTGTCTCCAACAGCAGGGATGACAGTCATGTACCACCATGCCTAGCTTTTAAAGTACCTTTATCATATAGTATTGAGTATTATAGTTATCTGTATGACTTTTGTCCCTGCTAAACTTTGAGCTCTTTAAGGACACTGACCATGTTGTTAATAAAGGTCTGTTGTATTATATTGTGTTGTGGCCATCCTGATGTCTGAGGCTGGAGGAAAGACTGGCATCAGACCTAGTCAAAACGGGGCAGGTGGCTTTGACCTTGTCCCCAGCCCCTGTCACTTTGCTCTTCAAGGTCCTGCGTTCTGGGCCATAGAGATGCTGAGCCTCATTCCTTAGGCCCACAGGAAGTAGGCACACCTCCTCCTTCCAGGCAATGACAGGTGCTTCTCTGGGCACAACAACACAGGAACATGAAATGCTGGTTCTATTTGGGGAATGTTCTGATGCTCCTGGTATATTCTCTTACACTCATTTTAGAAAATATGTAGGTTTGGTTACCAGTTGGAACCGGCTCCTTGGGTATTTAAAAAACCCAAAACAAACAATATTGTTGGTTGGGATTGCGGTTCAGTAAAAATATTGTTCCTTGGGTTCATTTTGGGGTTCTGCAAGCTAATGTGGTGCATTCTGGCATTTGATTTGTGGCTTGCTTAATGTCTATGGTTGGTATCTAGATCATAGAGTGTCAGAATTGAGGAGGCCCTTGCAAGTACATGCTAGATGGGACCTTAGGACTTAGAATGTAGAATGTAAGAGCTGGAAGGAAATTTAGAACATAGAACCTAGAGTGACAGAGCTGGAAGTGGCCTCAGAACAGAACTAGAAGGGGCAGACCTTTGAAAATACAAGATAGACTCTTAGAACAAGGAAGAACCTCAGAACCCAAAGTGATGGCCTTAGAAGCGGTCTTAGAACATAGAATGTAGGATGTTATGGCTACAAGACACTTTGAAAAATAGTCTGTCAGGGCTAGAAGGGATAGACCTTAGAATATAAAATATAGGCTCTCAGGGGCAGGAGAGACCTTAGAATATAGACCAATTAATCAACAAACATTAATTTTTCAGTACTTACACAAACCAGGAATTGTACTAGAAGGAACCTTAGAGATCATCATTTTACAAATGAGGAAATCGAGGCCCATAAAAAAGAAGTAACTTGCCTAAGGTTATGTAGCTTCTTAGCAATAGAACTCTGATCCCCTGACCCCATCTAGTAGTTTTTCTTTTGGCTGCAGCCTGGCTGTCAGAATTGATTGCTTTAGGCCTCTTCAGAAGGCTTTGGAGTCTGAGAAGGCAGTCTCCATTGTGGAGGTAGGGGTGGGAAAGGAAGAGGGGAAAGGAGAAAAGAGAGAACAGGGCAAGAAAGGAGAGAGGCATATCCACGATGCTGTGGGAGGCTTTTGCAATCTCATTGTGTTCCCAGGGGAAAGAGGAGACAGGTTCTGATTCTCCAGAGATTCTAGAAAGTTGGAAACTGCAGGTCCCATGGCCTGAAGAGAGAAGTTCTTATATTAGGGGTGTAGGTGACTGGCCCCTGCTTTGAATTCCAGTGTTCTGGCTCAGATCTAAGTGGGTAGGGGAGCTAGGCCTCCTTGTCCCCTGCAGCTTTTCATCTCTGGGCTGTAAACAGGGGGAAGGAAAGAAAGCCCTATTGTGCTAGAGAAGAAAGCTCTCAGTCGAGTTCCACCCTGAGCCTTCTAAATTGGGCCCTGAGGCTGCAGACCCCTTGGCTATCCTCTCCTCTGAGAAAGCAATTTTCTCAGAACCAGGAGTGAGGGGAGTGGGAGGTAATTCCGTGTAAGGGAAATATTTTAGGTCTGGGAGTTAGGATACTTGGGTTCCAATTGGGCTTATTTTTGTGGCTATTATGTGTATTATTAATTTATAATTCCTCATAGCTCGCATCTTCCCCCACCCCTAACCACCATCTGGGACAGACAGTGTATACTTAGTGTCTATCTCAGGAATAGGAAGTGTATATGCTAATAATTAGCTCCATTTTAGGATGAGAAAAACTGAGGCTGAGAGAAGTGACCCATAGGTAGTCAGTGAGGGATTTGGCCCTAGGTCTCCAAATTCAAAATCTTTTTTAAAAAATACTCTTTCCACTACTCCATGCTTCCTCTCTTAATAATAACAACTCACATATTCATAGATTTAAATTTAATTAATATTTGAAATTAAATAAGCTATATAAGCACACATAGAAAATCATAGTGTTGTAGGATCTTGGATTTCCAATTGGAATGAACTTTGGAGTCCATCTAGTCTAATTCCCCCCTCCTCCATTTTACAGGTGAAGTGACTGAGGCCAAGGAAGGTGACTCCCCAAAGTCACACAAGTAAAGTTAGAGGCAGTATTGGAGCCCAGGTCGCATGTGTGTGGGTATATATCCTTTTCATGTAGTAGTGTGTATATATATATGTGTGTGTATGTGTGTGTGTATACACATATATATACACTATTATATATTATTATATTATGTGTATATGTATTATACACACACATGAGTATACACACATATACATAGTGTACATATGTGTCCATATCCAGTGTCATAGATCTAGAGCTTGAAGGGACGTCAGAGGCCCCCTAGTCCAATTCCTCCATTTTTCAGATGAGAAAGCTAAGCCCAGAGAGCTCTTAGAAAGTCCACTGAAGGATTTGAACCCGTGTCTTCCAAAGTCAGTGAACTCTGTGTATGTATGTGTGTGTGTGTGTGTGTGTGTGTGTGTGTGTGTGTGTGTGTGAATTCTTCACTTCCATGTAAGGCAAATGGTGTAAGTCTTGTTATCCTTATTTTACAGATGAGGAACTTCAGAGATATGAAGTGAGTTGCCGACTGTCACACAGCTAGTAAGTAGCAGAACCAGCTCTTTGTGACTTTGGGCCAGACTCTCCCCACCCTGGGCCTCAAGTTCCCCTTCTTTGAAATAAGGGAGTTGGCTCAATGATCTCTAAGTGTCTTTCCAACTCTGACATTCTGAGAGTTAGTTCAAGTTCCCCATCTGGGCTGGGCCTGGATCTCCACTTTTGGCTCCTCGCCTCTGGTTTGTTTCTGAATGGGCTGGAGTCAAATTTCTGGCACCTACAGTTCTGGGAAAGGAAGTCAGAGGTTTAATGGGTTCTGAGCTGACATGTGGGTATCAGTCTGCCAGTCAACTGACCAGAATTTCCTAAGCACCTATCATTCCTACCAGGATTTCCTAAGCACCTACTATCTATGTGAGCTACAAAGATGAATCAAATATGATCCCTGCTTGAGAGGAACTCTTTAGAAGTAGTTGCATAGATAGATGTAGAGCTGTGAAGACGTCTAATGGTGTGACTCAGTCTTTGCCAAGTGCTAGCTGAATGGTATATATGATCCTTGGGGTGGACAGAAAAGGCTTTGCAGAAGTTGGGATTGGAGATGAATGCTTATGGGTGTTTGGGGCACAAGATTTGGAGAGCTTGTCTTCAGTTCAGTGAGCGTGTCAGTGCCACCATGTGCCATATACCACAGAGACAAAAAGTGAAAATGGCCTTCCCTCAAGGAATCTGAGTTTTATTAGGGAGAAGCAAGTACACAGATAAAATAAATACAAAGTACAAATAAAGTAAATACAAAGTCACTGGTGGGGGGAGGAATGTGCAGAATTGCTAGCAATTGGACTCTCCCCAATGATGGCCAATTTTTCTCAAAAGCTATGATGTGCTAGCTAGATTCTCCTAGAACAAAAGTTAATCCCTGGGAGTAGTAATATTAGTACTTTTAAAGAAATAACTGTATTCTTTCACTGATGTACCCAATTGTAACCTATTGACTTGAAAATGTAAATGTAGCATGCCCAAGTGCCTAAAATGTTCCTAGGGAGTAAAGCATATGTGCCTTTGGGATCATCTTTTTATTTCTTTTGCTAATATGCATGGTTTTTTTTTTAAACAAAACAAAATTTAACAGTCTCAAGCAAAGCAGGGAGTTAGGAAAGTCCCAGGTATATTAGAGGGACAGTGTGAATAGACCAGTTTTTCTGGGGACCAGGGTACATGTAAAAATAATAATAGCTTATGTTTATATAGTTCCTTATGGTTAAAAAGTGCTTTCTATGCATAACCTTCTTTGTTCTCTACAACAGTTCTGTGGGTTAGATCATACAAATTTAAACACTCCCATTTCCCATATGAGGAAATTGAGGCTTGGAGAAATTCACTTTGTCATTTAACTAAGTGATTTTGAACAAGTCACTGGACTTTTCAGGACTTCATTTTCCACAGGTAGAAAATGAGGGAGTTAGACTAGGTCATGGAGTTCTTAACTTGGTTTGTTTCATGGACCCCTTTGTCAGTCTGGTGAAGCCTAGGAGCTCCTTTTCAGAATGATGGCTTATTGCTTATATTTGTGATTGAAGGAAAGGCTAAATTTTACTTAGAAGTTTGTGAAAATAATGATGTAGCTTTTCATCCATGACAAGTTCAAACACCCTCTGAAATCAATGGTTCATGGACCCCAGATCCGTGGAACCCTTGGATGAGATGATTTCCAAAGGTCTTTCCAAATCTAAATCCTGTGTTCCTAGAAATGGTTTTCGAAAGCTTCCACAGCTAGTAAGTGGTAGCACTAATACTCAAGTCCTCATTCTAATTGCCTTTTAGCAGAGGAGATAGGGTTGATTGAATAGGTCTGCTCTATCCAGATTGGGGAGGGTCTCAAATGCTAAGCTGAGAAGTGTGAACTTTTATCCTGTGGGCTATAACAGGGGGCTATTGAAGATTAATGAGCAAGAGAGTGAAGTATGATTAGAGCTTGACTTTAGGAAGATTAACTTGGCAACACATGAAAGAGAGAAGAAACTAGAGAGAGGGTAGGTGGGGATGTGAGTTAGAAGGCTATTTCAGTAGTTTAGGCATACGATAACACAGGCTAGTAGGGTGGCCATAGGGGTAGATGCCAGTGTCATTTTGAAGGGAGAATTTGAAGGACTTGGCAACAGATTGGATGTGGGAGTTGAAGGGGAGAAAGGAGTCAAGGACAAGTCCAGAGTTTTGAGTGAGCTCAAACCTAGGAGACCGAGAGTATACTCATATTGGTGACAGGATTCTGTGTCCTGGTTAATTGACATATTCAGTGCCTTCCAGCCTTGGTGACTGCTCGTCTTGCCCAAGGATGGCCAGCCAGCTTGTATGTAGGCAGGAGGTGAGGTTGAGTGTGGGGAGTGCCTTAGGCTGACAGGCTCTGAATTCCCCAGCCCAGCTGCTCTGTTAGTACCTCCTCCTCCTCCTCCTCCTCCTCATCCTCCTCCTCCCTCCTCCTCCTTCTCCTCCTCCTCCTCCTCCTCGTTCTCCTCCTCCTTTTGACCTCCCCTCTACTGCCTGGCTGTGAACATGTCCCAGCCTGAAGAGTAATAGATCATAGAATATTACAGCTGGAAGGAACCTCAGAGACCTTGTTGTTCAACCCTTTCATTTTACATAGAAGGAATCTTAAGTGCAGAGAGGGGATGTGCCTTGATCCAGGTCACACAGGGAGTTAGTGACTTGGGTCACAGGGAGTTGGGGCTTGGATCAGGTCTCATGGTTGGGACTAATATGGTGTAGTAGGAAAAAAAGTGACTTGTGGTCAGAAGACTTGTATTTGCTTATTAGATCTTCTCCTTATGAGCTTTGGCACTCAAGGCAAGCCACTTCCTTTCTCTAAAAGCGTTTCAGATTCCTTAAATGTAAAATGAAGGAGTCGGAATGGATGATGGAGTCTAAAGTCCCTTTCAGTTCTAATATTCTCTGATCCAGGGAACAATACTTTGCCTCTTTAATTGTGGAATTAAAGGTTTGGTCCTTTGTGAAAAGCCTTTCAGGGAGTAGATGGCAGGCTTGGGCTTCCCAGCCCCTGAAGTCATACTTTTAAGTCCATCCATGGGTACAGGTGTGTCAGTCTAACACTTAGTTAGTGAAATGAAGTTTAATTGTCAGAGCCTTAAAGGGAGAAGTGAAGGCCTCTTGAGGCCTGACCTCAGTTGGTTTTCTTCTGTGCTGGCACTTCCTGTCTTGGGAAGGGTGGTTTCGGGACAAAGGGAAGAGAGAAGGGTGAAATCCAGCAGGCTGGGGCGGTGGTAGTACCCTGGGTCAAGAAGGTCAGCATAACCGACTCTCCCCCCACTGCTATTAACAACAACAACAACAGCAATAATAATCACAACAACAACAGTAGTTCACATTTATATTATGCTTTAGGTTTTGCAAAGTACTTTACAAATGTTATCTCTTTATTCAGTGCACAAGATCCTAGGAAATAGGTGCTACCAATATTCCCATTTTACAGATGAAAAAACTGATGCTCAAAGAGGACAAATGACTTGTCCAGAGTTACACAGCTAGTAAAGTATCATGGTATAGTAGAAAGAGCGTGGGCTCTGGCATAAGAAGACCTAGGTTCAAATCTTGCCTCTGAGATTTACTACCCTTGTGGGCAAGTTGATTAAATTTCCTGGGCTTCAGGGAATGAGAGGGTTGGACTAGTGTGTCTACTCAGGTCCATTCTAGCTCTAGTCCTGGGATTCTGGGATTCTGGGATTTTTAACAGTCTGAGGTAGGATTCAAACACAGGCTCCCAAGTCCAACACTATCTCCTATGCCATGCTGCTACTAATAGCCATTGCCTTCCCACCCCTGAATTTAACTGGGTCTGATCAATACCCCAACATAATCCCCAGGAGGCCTAATGGGTTCTAGGCTATTTCCCAGATTCAGCCTTGCCTGCTGTGGTCTCAGGTTAGCCTCTCTGAAAGCTTCAGGTTTAGGATGCCCAAGCCCACCTCATTCAACAACCCCTTGCTATCCTAATAATAGCTCATTTATGTTGGCCCTATGATTTATGAAGTGCTTTATAGACATTATCTCATTAAGGCTTCCCAGCAAACTTTTGGTTATAAAATTGCAAGATTTAGAGCTGGGAGAGACCTTAGACATTATCTAGCCCAACCCCTGTTTTTTGTTTGTTTGTTTGTTTTTTTACAAAGGAAGAAATCGAAGTTAAAATACTTACCCAAAGTAACACAGTTAGCAAATGGCAGAGCTGACATTCAAATCTAGGTCTTTTGACTTCATATTTAGGTTTATTCCTGATATACCATGCTACCTGTTATGCCAGAGAGCCCCCAGGGGATTGGAGCATTCAAGGAAAGGTACCTGGCAGTGTTGGAAACCCACATGTGGTTGATGTAGTGGCTGGGCAGAGCCCAGATCATGGTAGGCCCCCTTTTCTTCTCCTAGCTGAATGTCCAAAGGGCTGTTGGCCAAAGATGATACACAAGCTTTTTTTTTTTTGGTGAGGCAATTGGGGTTAAGTGACTTGCCCAGGATCGCACAGCTAGGAAATAGCAAGTGTCTGAGGCCAGATTTGAACTCAGGTCCTCCTGAACTCCAAGGCTGGAGCTCTATCCACTGCGCCACCTAGCTGCCCCTTTCACAAGCTTTTATGAGGCAATAGGTTACACTTCTGTGCTAGGATAGTTCCATTGTCTCATAAATAGAGGTTTTCCCTCCACTAGTGCAGATCACAGCCTATTCATGCCTTTCCAGTCTATGCTATTCTTGCTCATGTCCTCCCAGAAATCCTTATCTTGTTTCCTTCTTTAAATGTTGTGTTATTGCTCTTTTCTTTTTGGTAGTCAGTCAGCCGTAGGAGGTCTCAATGACCTTCACCCTCCTCAGTAGGACCCTCCTCTGTAACAGATAGGTGCAGTCAAGCAAAGCCAATCATGGGATCATGATATCACAGCTCTAGATCTAGAAAGAGCCTCTGAGGACATCTAGTACAGACCTCTCATTTTCTAGATCACACTGGCCATGTCTGAAAATGTATCCGTAATTCCCCTCAC